AGACAGAGATAGATAGACAGAGATAGACACAGATAGTAAGAGATAGACAGAGATAGACATAGATTGACAGAGATAGAAAGAGATAGATAGAGATAAAGAGAGAGAGAGAGAAATAGATGGATAGAGAGATAGGTAGATAGATAGCTAAATAGATAGATAGATAGATATCACAACATTGTAATTTTCCGGTTGGTGTGCCATTGCCAAATGAGCTAAAACTAGAAAAAAGGAACCCCTCCCTCGGGGGTTCCTTTTTGCAATTTTTCCTTGGTGGCAGCTTCTCTGCGGGTCAGCGGGATAATTGTTAGCGCAAAAAATACAGGGTCACGAAAAAGAGTTTGGAACACCCACTAATGTTGAAACCACCATTCAAGGGGAAATTCTTTAATGACTCGACCATGTATTCTTGATAATTTTTGCTGCGCGTCCCAGGACAACTTACTTGGCCATGGTCACAACAGCGCTTGGTGGGACGTGGTTCCTGGAACAGCCGAATGGCTCCTGCTATGACTATTTCCCACCTTTTGTGGACCTTCTCCTGCGAATGTTTGAAGCGAGTGGCAATACGGCAGTCCATGCCTAAGTATGTATACACACATATATATATATATGCCAATGTTTATGGAATGCCTTCCCATTCTGTAGTCTATGGTGTTTAGTCGTATGTGTTGCCAGCTTAGGTGACGAGGGTGTCTTGGAAAATGTGGCACTATGGCGGCTACACCCCGAAGCCCCACTGGGGCTATGGAAATAGCCCATGGATCTCACTTCTTGACAAAGGCCCTTTGAAGGACTGGAAACGTAAAAGTCTTGAGGAGGGACGTCCCATGCCAAAGACTTGTGAGCAATATGTCAACTCCAAGGGAGCAAAGTGCTACAAGGGCACAAAGTTCTTGAAAAAAACCGAGATCCTCGACAACATAGTGTGTTTGTACGGCTTTTATGAACACATGTGCATATACATATCTTTGTTTGTACTGGGCTTGGATTGCAACCCATTTACAAATCTTTCCTTCTCTAGGAATACACAGAATGAAAGATGGGAATATCTCAAAGAAGATAGTGCCCCAAGCTACAAAAAAATGAGCTTATCTTTCAAGGTTTGGGGCACTCCTCATTTCGATACAGGCCAAGATAAAGAAGAACCTATGCACATGTATCTAAGTATCTACATGCAGATGTATATATATATATGTGTGTGTAGCCTTAAATTGGTTGCTACCATGCCAACGGCCAATTGAACAACACAGACGCAGATTCTGGAGGGTTGACGGATGTTGATGGTCTTCCCTGGTTCTCCTATATCCTGTGACGCCACTAAGGGAGTATCCAGTTCGATTTGCTTGGTCCCTCGTGGATTTGTATGATGAGCTTACTGACTCCGCGGCTGGCCAGAAACCGCTACCAGCCAAGTTACCAAGCTGCATGGAAACGTTCCAAGCCATGCAGAAGAGCGAGAAGCAGATTTCCGGCCTAAAGTGGGCCAAGCTGGGGGAAGTCTATTCATATTTAAGACATGGGAAGCGCCTGCAAATCCCAGCGCCATGGAAGAAATTCCTTCCGAAACAGCCACCCCTGGAGGCAGAAACTTAAAGCGTGACCATAGCTTTGTCAATGGGAAAACATCAGATTTGGGATTTCCAAAGCCGACCAATTTGGAACAAAATTGTCAGAAATTTGGAAAATCACCAAAAAAATAATGGAAACGATCAATTTTTCCTCATTTTTGATAGCGATTTTAGGGGTCGCATCCAAAAAACCCATATTTAAGCCGTACTAAGCCGTACTAAACCCATATTTTACCCGTACTAAACCCATATTCTGATATAGTAAAAAAACCCGGTTTTTGGGAACCCATATTTAAACCATATTAAACCCATAATTAACCCATACTAACCCGTACTCAAAATATGGGTTTTTCGCCTCTGGGAATGGACGGCTGCGACGTCGAGTTTTTAGGCTCGATCTGTCCTCTTGCAAGATTGAACCGACAATTTGCGACTCGAAAACCGGGAAAATGGATCGGTGATCGAACCGGCAGTTTGCATCCCGATCCATGGTTGAAAACCATACATTTTTCCAGAACCGGTGATCGAACCGACAGTTTGAAACCCGATTCAGATCTGAAAACCATACATTTTTCCAGAACCGGTGATCGAACCGACAGTCTGAAACCCGATTCAGACCTGAAAACCATACATTTTTCCAGGGCCGGTGATCGAACCGACAGTTTGAAACCCGATTCAGACCTGAAAACCATACATTTTTTCCAGAACCGGTGATCGAACCGACAGTTTGCAACCCGATTCAGACCTGCAAACCATACATTTTTCCAGGGCCGGTGATCGAACCGACAGTTTGAAACCCGATTCAGACCTGAAAACCATACATTTTTTTAGAACCGGTGATCGAACCGACAGTTGGAAACCCGATTCAGACCCGCAAACGCATACAATTTCTATTATAAAATATGTTGCAGCATTCTTGGTCAAGTTTGGAGGTGTACATCCGGTGTCAAGGGAATGGCCCTTCGTATCAAATCTGAGGGGACTCTTAAGAGCAGCCGCCATTGGAGTTGCAGCACGCTTCATGATGGTGTAGATATGTTGCTGTCAGAAGCCCGACAAGCTGACGCAGAGGAGGAAAACCTTCTACAGCTGATTGAGGACCCATACAATAAATGCTTTGGTCTTGTCATGATCGGTTCAACACATGTATCAAGACTTTCTGACAAGGGTTTGCTTCCAGTATATATATATACTTCATTACATCCGTTTTTTCGGCAGGATATTCAGAAGCAACAACCAGTGGCGTCAGCAGTGCCTCATCTCAACATATAGGTTAGCAGGTGGCTGGTGTGGGATTTCCTTTTTCTGAGAAGTTCCACGTGGATTCATGGATCTTCATATAGCGGAGCGGATGTGAAATTGTGGGGGGATTTCAGCATGACATCTAAAGAATGCTTCCTCCAAATATATATAGCTGGTTTTCAGTGGTTTATTTTTTCCCAAACCCGATCAGATGCCCCACCATTCACTTTGGGCCCAACAGATTTTCATGATTTCCCGATTCACTTTCCCACGCCCAGGCCGAGGATCCAGATGCAAGTGGAGGTGCTCCCTCTGCAGCTGCAGCTCTTCCTGGTGGCGCAGCTTCCGAGGACATAGCAACCACTGACACCATCCCTGTTGCTGGCTGCAATTCCTCATGGTGGGCGGGGGTGAAAAAACATGTATGTGTGTATGTATAATATATATATATGTGTGTGTGTAGATAGCAATGATATATGTGACATCTTGTGACAGTATAGCTTTATAACAATCTCAATCAAACAATCTCAGCTACTTCCCGGACATGAGGCTACATCTGAAGAGCTTCAACAGAAAGGTCTTCCAAGTGCTGGCCCGACCTATCAGGCTGGGCCAATGGGTTTCTGTGTGAACAACCGTTTCCAAGTCACCCACATATTTATGGAATACTTTTGGAATTTGCATTAAAAAAATGTTGATACTGTTCATATACATAGACCCCTGTATAGTGAGCTGGGTTTAAACCCAAGTTGAACCAATCCCCTTTACTTCCAGGACGCTCGCCCTATTGCCACGGCAGCTCGTGGGAATGGCGCTCCCGCTGATGTTTTGGGTGGGAATTACGCTGGCAATCTTGGTGGCGGGTCGTCCCCTACTTCCGTCGCGCCAGGGACACCTGTTGAGACACCTCAGACCCCCAGTGTTGAGATGGCAGTTCCAACCCCGGCTGAATCCAATCAGAGCCCCCGGGTGCCAGCGGCTCCTGCGCCCAAGACTCGGAAGGATATGGGTCACGTGATTCCAACCTCGGCATTCATTTTGGGATGTGTTGGTTCATCTAGTGTGGGAATTCATATCCCCAGATGTATATAGTCAGTCGTTAAACTTGGTGGCGTGGTTCTTTTGCAATATACTTGGTTTGTGCAGGTGTATAAAAACGAAAAAATCCCCATCTGTTTGGACAGTGTTTATATCCTGGCACCCCGGAGGAGCGACTTCGGTTGGCTGCCAAACAGCAGATCCGAAGGCTTTGCACTTTGAAAAAGAAGAGAAAGGCCCTTAACCCCCCTGACTGGCTTGTTGAAGCCTATAACAAAAGAGACAAGACCGAACTGGCGCAGATGTTGGTAGACGCCAATTTCGACAAGGATTGGGTTTTTGTGAGCTGTTGGGAAACCGAAAGAGACGCCCATTTTTTAACGGAAACATTGCTTTTAGGAAGTCATTATATACATATATATATATATATGTGTGTGTGTGTGTGTGCGTGGGAGTCTGTGTTAATTTCTGGCATGTTTTTACAGGCTGAAACTTTTTCCACACACACACACACACTTCTGTCAGGACAAATTCATGGCTCGCCTAGAAGTCGTGGTGACTAAGAAGGCTTCCAACAAGGTCACCATTGATGGTGGGTGGTACTCCGAAAAGGAGATGCGTGAAGATTTGAAATGGACAGCGAATTTTGATTGCATTTAGAGGCCCAGGTCTTACATTCAAGGTTGTTAGATGTTCTTTATATATATATAAATAAATATATTTACATACGCACATACATATACATGCATTTACATGCAGATCACAGTATGCTATACATATACATGCATTTACATGCAGATCACAGTATGATAGATAGATAGATAGATAGATAGATAGATAGGAGGCATGTTTAAGTAAATAGATCTAACACAAAACATGGTATATATATATTTATATGTGCATATATATATATATATATATACATATGGATCTTCGCCAACCTACTCAGGGCCCGGATCAATGGCGCCAAGAAGGACTGCGAGGCCAAGAATGTGAACAATTCCCACTGCAGGAGCCTTTGAACCCCTTAGTCCTGATTTTCCAACACCCCATTCAAAGTTGATTCCACCTACTCACCTACAGCGTTTTTGCCACTTCCACCATCGAGTTTGCAGGAAGAACATCTATGACGGCGTTGAGGAGTATCATGTGATGATCCGAGAGAAGGGGTCGCGGGAGGCGGAAGAGACACATGAGGAGAAAAGAACTTCATCCACCAAGCTTGAGGCACATTGCGTGGAAAATTTGGTTTGGTCTCCATGGGTCGCACATGACAAACAGATCGGAAACATTGAGAGTGCTTTGAATGGTTGAATTATTTTTGCTTCCAACCCATCTCTATGTGCTCACACAGCCGGCCCATCCTTTCAGGCGTCCCAGGCACCAAGCATTCCAGCGAGTGCTTTCGATAACCTGGACAAGATGAAAGAGCGGATGGCAATTGAGGATTCAGCCCCGTCGCAGAAACCCAAGCCGCCCACCCAGGAAGAGGAGGCTAGCTGCGTCAATTGGCTGGGGTATATATACATGGCAATCTTCTTTTATATATCTTTAGGGCGTGAAACAAAAACCAAGACATTGCACGTGCCAGTCTGGCCTTCCTAGACCCTTTGCATACACATGCATGATTTCTCATCATTCAGCTGTTTGCCTTGCAGATGAAGACAAAGCTGAAGACGTTTATGGACAGCATGCTTCAAAAGGCTGGGAAAGTTCGTTCCTTGATCCGAGACCTGAAGCAGAACTATTCTCAAAGCAGCTCAATGACTACGTGACTTGGTCAGAAACCATCCAGTCTTTCACAGTGATGGGGGTTTTACGATAGTCATGTTTTGTTTTGGAATCTGCAGGCTTCCAAAGATCCTCAGTGAGACTATCAGCCAGTGCAAATCCATTTTCTTTATCACAGCATCGCAAGGCATCCACCCAAATTCAAATCTATCTATCTATCTATCTATCTATCTATCTATCTAGGTTCGTTGGCCATCTCAAAAACTCCCAGGCATGTCGACGAGTTGACAAAGTTGCTGAAGAACATGGATGCCGAGTATGACAAGTGCAACATGGTTTGCGCAAATGGCGAGGTCAACGGTTACAACTCAAAGCCTCTATATTGCAAAGAGACGTCCATACCAAATATTAATTGCATGTGCATGAGCCGGTGTGGCATTTTTGACACCCCCGTTCAGTCAGTTTTCTTTACCCGGTGGCATCTGGGATATGTTGAAATCTCGGCCCGCTTTTGGCCCCAAGGTTTGTTGCCGAAGGAACTGCTGCCATGAAAGCGGCGACTTTTGCGTCCTCCATGCCAGTTTATGGATACATCGCGTTCTACCTTAGGAGCACAAAGTTTCATAGCGAGCATTTGCTTCGCCCATTTTGATGGAAAGTTTGCACCAATGGAAACTATTTGATCCTGTTTCTATTTCAATCATGTGATCTCATTCTTGGCAGGTGCAGTGCGGCCATTGCAGCGGAGAACAAAATCAGGACTCTTGCCTCTCTCTCTCTCTCTCTCTCTCTCTCGCTCTCCCTCTGGAAAATCACAACAAGATGTTGTTACCTTTGCCTCGTGCCCTTACTTTGGTTTCCATTCAGAGTGCTGTGGGGGCCCCTCAAGTCCCAGGAATGCCAAGAAATATGAGAAGAAGGATTCAAAGCCGGCTACCCCGAAAGCGCTGGCTGCCCCGAAAGTTTCCAGTGCCAAGCCCTCCGGTTCTGGCAAGAGACCTGCTTCCGAGACGACCGACACGGTTTCGGCGCCTAAGAAGAAGAGTAAGAGCAAGGCCAAGAAGTGAAACTAGGTTTACTTGGGTGAGCATGGATGTACATGCCAGGGGTGCTGCGGGAGACGCGCATACAACATGCAGTGTGGAACATGCAGCGGCACACTGTCTAATCTTCAGAGTTCGGCGACGTGTTGCACATTCCAGTACTTATCTAAGTTCAACCTCACTGGATCAGCAAAAGAAAGAAGCGTGAAAAAAATGTAGCTGTGACCCAAATCACTTGGTTTACATTCTGGGGGGTTGATCGTTTGACGAGTTTGGCAGAGACACGTGCCATTCGCACATGTGGATGGAGCAGTGCGCGTGCGGGAAAATCGGCAGTATTGTACCTGCAATGATTTTTTGATTTTCAAAAGCCAATGCTTTTTAAAGGGCTTGATTATCCAGGCATCCCTGCATGTCCGGGCCAGGTGCTGGCCAGGCACTTCGTGTCATAGCCGGTGACGTTGCCGAAGGTGCAGGGGCCTCAAGTGGGGATGTGAACGCATCCCAGATTTCGTTTCCATGTGCGTTCTACCAGCGAGGCTTGAATTCTTTTGAGAATCTGCCATGCAATATTTTCAGCTATCATGTTGCATGGTTACCGCTGCAAAGCAACAATCAACAGAAAATTATCATCAGCTTTACTGTAAACCACATATAAGTATAAGATGAACAATTGTTTTTTATATCCTCCGATGTTACTGGTATACAAACAAGTTGTTCCATTTTTTGGGCGCCCCCATCGAAAAGAAAAAACAACCCTTGTGAAAGTTTGGCTAGGGAACCTTACATCTATATATAATATTTATAATTTACACATATATATTAATAAACATGTTTGAGGGGGCGCGCATTGCACTGCTACATGTCGAGCAATGGCTTCCATGAGACTGCAGAGGAAGAACTCATTGACTTACTATCTTGCCATCGATCTGCTTCTTAGCGCGTGTCAATGTTGCACATTGGGTCCTAAACAGTGTGCGGGGGTTATGCCTCTGAAACCCTTATGGCCAACTAAGGAGGATGAAGGGCCCTTTCCGTGGAGACGCACGACTACCTTAGATGGACCATTCAATCCAAAGCCGGTTCCTGCTGACACACCTGGTGTTACAAATGTGAATCTTCCTGCTATGGGTCCCCCAAATTGTTTTACGCTGGATGATCAAACAGCCCAAGCTAGCCTGAAACAGGCGCAGGAGGAAACAGCTGCAGTTGGCTGCATAGCTTTCAAGCTACCGGCATGGAACGCATTGGCGGGAAGAGTTCTTGACCATGCTGTGCAAGTGATAGAATCCCTGTTTAGGAAGCATGAGCCCCTTATCTATAAGGTGGGTGTTACACACAGTCCTGTTTGGCGCTGGTGCAACCCAATTTATGGGTATGTTGCTGCCCGTGACAAATGGTCCAATATGATGGTTTTTCATTGTAGCCCTGAGCCATATGGACCCTCAATGCTCGAAGCGGCCCTCATTGACAAATACAAAGATGTCTTGTCGATCCACTTCACTGAAACATTTTCGTTTTTTTCCCTTCCCGAGATTGTAAAATAAATGTGTGATTCCGATTTTTTTTTGCTGTGCTGGTGGTCCCGATGATGGTGTCGATGATGACTTTGCTGGTGTCGGCGAATATGTTCATGATAATGGCGATGCATGATGATGTTGACAATTATTTTTGTGGCAGCGATTGCCAAAACCATGATGATGATTGTGATGATATGATGATGATGATGATGGTGATGGTAATGGTGATGGTGGCTGTGTGTGTGTGTGCGACGGTCATGGTGAAGGTGATCATGACGGTTGTGCTGATGATGGTCCCGGTGATGGTGGTGGTGGTGGTTTTGGTGGTGGTGGTGGTGGTGGTGGTGGTGGTGGTGGTGGTGGTGGTGGGCGGCGGCAAGCGGCAGCGGCAGCAGCGGCGGCGGCAGTGCAGTGGCGGCGGCGTCGTGGTGGTGGTGGTGGTGGTGGTGGATGTAGGATGATGATTTTGATGTTGATGATGATGATGATGATGTTGATGATGATGATGATGTTGTTGATGATGATGATGATGGTGATGAGGATGAGATTGAGGATGACGACGATGACGACGACGACGACGACGACGACGACGACGACGATGATGACGAGGATGATGACGATGATGGTGGTGATGATGATGGTGGTGATGATGATGATGATGATGAGGAGAATGAGGATGATGATGCTGATGATGATGATGCTGCTGATGTTGATGCTGATGCTGACGATGCTGCTGCTGCTGATGATAACAATGAGGGTGATGTTGCTGATGATGAAGATGATGATCATGATGGTGGTGGTGGTGATGATGATGATGTGGGAGAGGAAGAGGGCGATGAGGATGGTGACGGCTTTGACTATGGCAATGATGATTGTAGGATCTAGTCTTTGTGATGGTCTTGTGAATAACTACCATATAATATCTGATGCCCATGGAAGGTGTGAGTGTGTGTTGATATTCAGTCTGTATGCACATATATATGTATATATATATATGTGTGTGTGTTTGTGTAGAATGTCCTGCCTTGCTTAGTTTCTCTCTCTCTCTCTCTCTGCATATGTTTTGCTGTTCTCAGGTAAGCCCGGCTGCCGGAACGTGCGTCTGGGAGGTGACACGGTCAACACAGATCTGAAAGGGAATTGGTTCTGCTATGTGGTTTACCGAAGTTTTAAATTCAAACCAACTTGACGTTCTGCTATACATGCCAGGAGCTTTGTTTGAGAAACAATGCATGGTGCGTGCTAGCCAGGAAATTTTCTCTGGCCACGGGGTAGCACGCTGCATGGGGCTGTTTTTTTAGGAGCATCCCCTTACTTATCCATGTTCGATCTTTGCGCGCGTGAAAAAAGAATCGTGCACAACAGCCGAACGCAACCACGTTTTGAGTTGCTGCCGGTGCTGGGTTTGTGAGTGTGCGCACAAGCATTGGACGCTTGCAGCTCCCTTACCAATCTTTACCCCAACAATCCACAACCCTGGTACAGACTGGTACCTTGCTCGCTGAGGTCTCCACATGCCGAAGTGCTATCAGGACAGCCAAAGGCGTTGTTCGGGACATTGGGAAGGAAAGCGCGGCCAAATCTCCAGGCTTGAACGAGTTGGCCAGGTGTAGCGAAAAGAATTCGGAAAGAGATTTGCAGAACGTTACCAGCAAAAAAAAATTGCTGTCACTGCCAATTCCCTTGTCAACCATTCCGAAACCTCCTGGAATGCGATATGCTGGAGACTTCCATGCAATCAGTCTCAGGAATTGGTGCAAGTTTCTTGTGACATACTCTTGCTGGCATGTCTTGTGTGGCCTGGTCCAGCCGAACCCTCCCCGAGAACGTGCGATACTTCAAGAGTTTTGGCGGCGTTACCGGCTTTGGAGGCTGAACCATGACCTCTGGAAGCTTGTTGATTCCAGAAACATTGACCTTTCGCGCACGGCACCAATGGTTTTACCCGGCGATGAAGGCCGAGGCTTCAAAAAGTCAGCGTTTTTGCTTTGTGCTTATCACAGTTACATCGGGCGGGGCACAGACCTGGCGAATTCCACAAGAACTGCAAAACCATATGTTTCGATGAAACTCAACTACGGAGGGAATAGTTGGTCCCATCGATTTGTCACTGCCTGCCTCCCGAAGATGAACAAAGATGAAGCAGCATTCCAAGCAATTTGTGACTTCATGACCGAAGATGCCTTGGACCTCATCAACAATGGGGTGGTGGATTCGACAGGAACCAAATATCATATGGTTGTTTTACAGTGCTCCGGCGACTGGCAGTGGCTGGTCAAGGCAGGCTGCCTTGCTCGCAGTTATGCTAACTGCGAGAAGAGGCCTCGAGCACCCACTGCCCGACCAAGAGGGATATGCCACCTGTGTCGTGCCGGGCAGGTAAATGTCCCATTCGAGGACTTCAGGTTGCAAGCTGCGTGGAGGTCGACGCAATTTCAACTTGACGACTGCCCATTCACCTCTGTCCCTTCGTTGCTTCGACTTCCACATGAAGCAGACAAACCTTCGCAGTTTTTCTCATTTGACCTTTGGCACGCCTACCACCTTGGTCTGGGGAAGTGTTTCCTGGGATCAGCGCTTGCAGTTATTTCAGAATACATGCCTGGCTCGAACATTGACCTTCGTTTCCAAAATTTGACAACTGTTTTCCTCCAATGGGCAGAAGATTCGAAGACCACTCCTTATATCACCATACTGACGAAAGAAGGGATTCAATGGCCAGACAAAAAGTCGTACCCTAACGGAAGCTGGCACAAGGGGCATGTGACCACAACCCTCATGAGATTCGTGGTGTGGTTTTTGGAAACTCGCAATTATGCGTTGGATGCTATGTTGGTCAAGATTTTAGAAGCAGCAAGGGCAATGAACGAAGCCATGACCATTTTGTACAGCAATGATGTGTGGTTGCCCAGACTGGTAGCAAATCAGGTTGGGAGACTTGGACGACGCCACATGGAACTATACCAGGAAATGGCCACTATCTGCTTCCGCCAAGGGCAGGCCCTGTGGCCTTTTATGCCCAAAGCTCACATTTGTGATCACATCTGGTCTGAACTTGAGTTCTGCGAGGCCCCACACATAATTTCACCGTTATGCCATGCTGTCCAGATAGACGAGGACATGGTTGGCCGAGTGTCGCGTGTGTCGCGACGAGTTTCACCCATGCAAGTAATTAAAAGGGTATTGCAAAGGACGCTCCATGCATCCTTTGCCCATTTTGTCAAGTGCGGCTACGTCCACTCGAGGTGAAGAGAAACATTGCAAGGGGTTGGTTAGTATGGGATGTACGCGCATCTGTGTGTGTGTCTGTGTTATTGTGTTGATTTGCTTTGATGATGTTTTCAACGTGATTGGTTTTGGAAATTGACATGTTGAGGCTGCCACATGTGGTGAAAGTGAAATTTAACATATGTTGTCCTGGCATGATCAAATTTGTCAAAACAACAGGAATTCCATAATATGTTTTTTTTAAAAACCCGGTTTTCTTCTGTAAAAGTAGTTTTTTTTGACTGGGTCCACTTTTTTTAGGGTCTTTGAAGCTTTAGGTATGAAGAAGCATATGAGAAAGACAAAGTTTGGAAGAAACCCTACATCTTAGATGTGCAGAGCTCAAGCAAATTCCAGTCTGCCCGGTGTCATTGCGCACCGTGTTTGACATTTTCAAAATTCCACCTGCGGTTACTATATTCCAGCTTTATGCCGGAGGTTGTCCATATTTGAGGCTGGTCGTCTCCAAGGAATGCCAGATTCTTTGATGACAGGACTGTTGTCGAAACATCAACCGCAAAACATTGGCGCAGCTCTGGGTGATGGTATGTCCATCAATGTTCTCAGGAAAGTCCTGCTTGCAGCTTTGATCGCTATTGGTTTTCTTCCTGAAGGCGACCGATTGGTGAGAGACCAATGGATGGCCGGTTTTGAGTGGGAAGCCTGGAACATGTAGAGAACGTAACTGTTGAACGGTTGGAACCTCACAGTGGAACCCAATAATTTTGTACTCTAAACTGCACCAGAGTGTGCGCTGACAAGGAAGAAAAGTCGAGCGCGCAGCTGATCACTGTGTAAATGTGTTCATCAGCGCATTTGTGATAAGCAAGCAACTGCTCAAATTTCAGAAACGCTTTCAGAAACGATTTGCATGCAACTGCTGCATCGTACATTGTCTCAGTCTTACTCGATTGGCTAAACAATATCTTTCAAGATAATGAAAAATGTGATTTTTCAATGTGCACAAACAACATGTGTTTATTTCAGTGTGGCGTTGTGGTTTGCAGGTCCTGCTTATGTACCACGGCTGACAGGTCTGAACCTCGCTGTCACACCTGACAGCGTGGAACCTCGCAGTCACAGCTGACAGGTTGGAACCTCGCTGTTCTCGCCATGTCCCCGAAAACAGACACGAAAGAACCCTTGCCTGCAGGTGTTCCGTCCAATTGGTCGGCTTGGAAACTGAACAACAAAGAGCAGGCAAGGAATAACCAAATTGTTTTTTTTCAATCATGTTTGTTGAAATAGGAATACAAAAGCATTGGTTTGGCAACTTCGATTTCGCAGGCTCAATTGGAGAATGATGTCACTGAGTGGTCTAATTATCTGCTGAATTGGATGACGATGCCAAGCAGAAGGCAATCAATGATTACAGGGCGGAAACTCTCAAGAAGGCCAAGCAGAAGAAAGCGAAGGAATCAGCGGAGGGGAAAGCCCAGGCAAAGGCAGCCGCCGTTCCTGGCGAAGCTGGGAACCTCCCAAGTGCTCCTACCGTCCAAGTTCCACTTACGGTTTCCACCAGTGCTGCTAGCAGCGGCCAGCGGCGAGAAGCGCGCAGCTTTGCCTGCAGGATCTTTGAAGTTTGATGATGTGAACCATGGTTACTACGAAGCTGTTCAGCATGATCAAGATGCGATCTTGCGGCATTTTGGCAAAGCATATGCCTCTGAGGGCATTGGCCATTGCTTCCAAAGGCTGTCATGGGGAAGGAGGTATTCAGGCCTGGAATTCTTGTTGGATGATTCGTTTTAAACATATTCTTTTTCTTTGCGTTTGCGCAACATTAATCAAAATTAAGAAATTAATGCATGGACAAAATGATGTGATTCAATTTCCATGGCATGCCACAAAAATAATCGATGCCGACAACACGTGACTGGCATGCAGCAATTAAGAATAATTGTAACCAATGCCAACAGCATCCATGACGATCAGGAGCCGTACAGTAAGAACGCTTGTGAACGCGCTCTAGAGAACCATGGAAACTACGTCGCAGGGATCAACGCATTCTGGGTGAACCATCTGCGCAGCCCAACCCCTGGCATCCCCTTGCGGAGAGAATCGGTGAAAGAACTTGCAGACTTCTGTGGCCTCCGGAGGGCACAGAGGCTCCAGCTTTTTTGCTGGAACTTTTGGAAGTACAGGCGCCTGTCACCATCCCAGACATCCCCAGCGAATTGCAAATGATTTCGCCCGAAGGCTACATCCACGCACTTCTTCTCGCCTGTGCCAGGGATCTGCCCAGAAATCTGGACACGTGGAAAATCATCCTGAAAAGCGTCCCTTGCGCATTCACCAAAGGTGAAGGTTGGAACCCCCCCTGGAGATGTGTGGATTCGGGCTTGGAACTCCCGCAACAAGATTTCACATGAGAGTTTGTCGAGGACGGCTTTTCAGACCTGCATGGAGCTCATATCAGTCAAGAGCAAGATCGAAGCGGAGTTAGCAAGGTCGCTGACAGCGGCTGAGCTGGTACAGGAATTGAAGAACAGAGGATTGAAGAAGGCGAGCAGCCAGGACGAGATGACCGTAAATCTGGTGACGCATGGTTTGCTCATTGCTGAACGCATGCACGGCGAAGGCATGATGATTCCCTTGCGCACCTTGGAGGAGCAGTACGGGACGAGCAGTTGCCTCAACAAGATGGGGTTGCTCTATGCCCTTGTGAGCAAACCATCCAATCAGCAAAGGGTCTGGGTGATGCAGAGTTTGTTTCACTACATCCTGACGAAGCTGGTCAGCAACGAGGATGTGACCAAGGGCTACCTCTTGAGAGACAAAAATTCAGCATCCATGATCAGCCTTTGGGAGCTCAAGGCCTTGGTGTGGGATCAGATGTTGGGGTACATGCTGGCCAAAGCAAAGCTGGTGGACAAGGACATCATTGTCCTGAGGCAGGTGCTGGCCAGTCACGAGGCCTACCGTGCCCGGATGTTGGGCGGCGATGTGGCCTGGCAAGGCCAGCTCGCACAATCCAGTTTGGAGGCCTTGGCCAATGTCGAGGCAGTGGTGTCCGAATTTGTTGTTTTTTGAATTTTAATCAATGTTTGGATCCTTCAGTCCATTGGGCGAAGGTCTCCGGTCCAGTATGGTGCGGCACCCCACCAAATGTTTTGGTTGATGATAAAGCAAGGATGTGATGTTGGGACCCTGGTTTTATACACATCCATTCATCAGTCCATGGGTGACAAGTTGTTTATCCCCCTGCAGAAACTCGTCTACAGCAAGCACTACGACAGTGCCATGAAGGCGTGCTGCAGGGGCAACAAGAACGTGGACGAGGTGATGGAACTGCCGCAGACCAAGGAGGATTGGGATCGAGTGGTGGCTTGCCGCGAGAACAAGCTCGTCAACGAGCAGGCAAAGAAGAAAACCGAGGATGAGGCCGGATCTGCTGATGAGGAGACCCCATTGGCAGTGCTCCGAAAGCCAGCAACGGATTTCAAGGAGCACAGTTTGCCTTATTGGAAGGCCATGGCAAACACCTCAGTTCGCGGGTACGTGACTTTCGCAGTCAAACCAGGCACCCAAAGTCAAATTACCCGGCTGGTGAGCCAATCCGCTCTCAAAGACATTGTGCTCAATGAGGGTTCAAAGGACCTCGTCGTATTCATGCATTTCCTTGTCATATATTTAATTTTTACGATTGCGGCGAAGGTTAGAACCTCCCGCTGCTTGACACCAATAGTAGGACTAAATTACCCAACATGACCACCTTCAAAGGACCAGCCTGATCTGGTATGACCTGGACTGCAACGGGGAAAGCCAAGGGCCGAACCAGCAACCTGGCCTTCGTCGGTCCACGCCGTTTGATGGCCACTCCGAAGTCCGGAACATGCTGCATGGGGCCATGGTGGGTCGAAGGGCCCAGATCAAATCAGATCAACAGGAAGCCGCTGTGCCCGCTGCAGCAGAGATGGTGGTTTTCCATTGCAATGGCCAGCAAGCCAAGAGCGAGATCCGCAAGATCTTCAGATTGATGAGCGCAAAGGGAGACAATGTGGATTGCTGCGAGAAGACAATGGCGGTCGTGTACAACGAGGAGACCGTGAGGGCGCGGAAGAAGCGAATTCGCACTTCCAGTGGCTATTCTTGCCACTCTTCGTTGTGCTTCTACTCGGGACACAGCTTGGTTCCTGACTTGGCCCCGGAGAAGAAACGGTCTGTGTACCAGGGGTACAACACTGGCGATGTGGTGGGCTTTGTGGAAGCGGTGTCTCCGCAGAATCAGTGGCAAACCACAAGGCCGTTGAAAGAGAAGATCTTGGGTCCTGCCGCCATGAAGCTCACCACCGCCGAAGAAGTGGGTTCCTTGCCCCTGGTATTTTTGTTTTGGCATTGGCCACGGTGGTACCTTCCAAACAGTTTTTTCTTTTGGCTGCCTGGTTTCTGTTGGCACGGGGTAACAGTAGCCACTGATACGGGCTAATAGTTTAATAATAATATTAATAGTAATAAAAGTAATAAAATTAATAGTAATAATAATAATGTATATATATATATATATATATTTTTTTTTTTTCAATTTGACCTGGCTGCCATTGCTCAGGCTTGACAAAGGACCAGAAAGCAGAGCTGGCCATGGAAGGGCGAACGGGGTCAGTGTTTTCTGGCGCAAGGCTGCCCCCAGCTTTCTTCAACGACATGATGACCAGCTTCAGCATCAGTTCTGTGGTGGATATGACTCCAGGTCAGGGGCCTTTGCTGCAGACATGCTTGGATCTGCGGGTCCCGGCTCTGGCCATTTGCCTTTCCGACACCCACTGCTCACAACATATTGTTTGCAAAAATTCGTGGACCCCTCCCACACTTTGCACCGCCCAGAGGCGAGCAAGTTCCTCACCAAAAACGGCGAATGGAAAGAAGAGGAGGACCAGAAGAAAGAAGAGAAACATTGACGAACCCAAAGGGAAAAAATTGAAAAAGAAGAAAGGCGATGACGAAGAGGAAACTTCAAAGAAGAAAAAAAGGAAAAACAGCAAGTCGGAAAGTGCATCATCGCAGGACGACGAAGAAGACAAGAAGAAAAAGAAAAAACAAAAGAAGAAAAGCAGCTCTTCTGGCGACGCGGAGTCGTGGTGAAATAGCTGACAGGTTGGAACCTCGCGATTTCCAAAGTGTTGGTGTTGATCCACGAAGGGAAGGAACGTGCTGATCCCAATTTTGTAGACAAAAATGATTGACTGTAATAGGTTGGAACCTTCAGTCTGTCCGCACAGGTTGGTTCGACTGTTTGCAATAGGTTGGAACCTCATGTTGGGCCAGTCCCGCTCCACAGGCTGTAACAATTGCGGCTGTGGGATCGTCGTCGTAGTCCTTTCGTGATATCATGCTGGAAGGTAGGCCAGTCCATGCCCAGACCATCGCAATCTTGGAAAAAAATGCCTCCACCAACAGATCAGTCGAATCAGTCTGTCACTGTATTGTTAATTTATGAATGGTCGCAAGAAAACACCTTCCACAAGGTTACATGAGCAATTTTCATTGTTAAACATTTTTGTTTTATTACTGGCGATCTCTTGTGCCTTTGGTTGTTTGACGAAGTTTGATGATTGTTTGATTATTTGTCAATTGTGTGTAAATAGACCGTATCATTGCAGCTGCGCAGTGAAATTGGACAAGTAAGTAGCACATTGACTGCCAAATGACACTGATGTGATTGACGTTGACATGGCACATGTCTAGTTTCATGTATAAATAATATACATAACTATATAAGATATTGTTGCATGTAGCAGCTGATATCTCATCATCAATGCATGATCCACACCAGGACCACTGTCAAAGAATTCAAATTTGTGATGCGCCGCTGCCATTTCTCACAATAGTTTGCTTCGAGCTCCCAACGCCCCTTTGTGAGAAAAAATGAGTGAAAGGTTGGAACCTCCTCGACTCATCTTTCATCATGCCGAAGAAAGGTACCAATGCTAACCTGGTTGGCCAAATCGAGGAGCTTCCGCCACATACTGGCCACTCCCCCACGCTGGAGATCAACGAGGGATTTGTGGACGTCATGGTCAAGGGCATCCCGTTCATCGGGTTTCGGTGCTTCGCGGTCCCGGAAGGACGGTGTCTGTTTTTTTTTGGTTGGCTGTTGGGGTAACATGTTTTTTAGTTGAAATTTTGCAATTTTTCCCTGCAGGCGCAAAATTGGAGCACCTCAAGAAGTACATTGGGGAACTGACTATCCCAGTGGATTGGGCGCCTGTACGTGGGTGGCAAAAAATTCGGAGAGGTGATCCCCACTGGTGACTTTGGGCTTCACTCTGCGCAGCGGGCCACCCCCTACAATATGCCCGTGGAGGAACTGCGGGAAAATGATTTGCCTCTGAAATTCAGTTGGCATATCTGGTCCCCCAGCTACAAGAAGAACAACCTGGGATATCAGTGGGAACAAACGCTCTGGGAGCAAGAGTGAAGGAAACCGCTGTGGCCATTCGAAGAACCGCTGATAGGTTGGAACCGCGCGTTTTTTTTAAAATGGCACGGGCCATTTTCCCCAGCTGACAGGTTGGAACCTTGCGGGGCAGAGCACAGTCAGTTCTTGACAGCGCGCAGCCTGGCTAAGAGCACAGTCATGGTGGGAACCCGGCTGTCTGCATGAGGCAGATGCAGAAATTCACACTGACAGGCGATCTCCGAGGACGCAGAAAAAATTGCGTCGTCCGTTTCTTCACCAGGAAATTTCACATAGTCTCTATGTGCGCGTTCGTGTTGCATTTTCAAAAGTTTTTTACTGCACAATGTGTTTGTCATAGCATGTTCATATATTGTTTTTCTCATGTGCGAGTGTTGAAACAGTGAAACAATAATTTTATTAGGTGCATCCCAAGCCACACTAGCTATTATAGAATAAATCATATATATATGTATATGTATATGTATATGTATATGTATATGTATATGTATATGTGTATGTGTATGTGTATGTGTATGTGTATGTATGTATGTATGTATGTGTATGTGTATGTGTATGTGTATGTGTATGTGTATGTGTATGTGTATGTATGTATGTATGTATGTGTATGTGTATGTGTATGTGTATGTGTATGTGTATGTGTATGTGTATGTGTATGTGTATGTATGTATGTATGTACGTATGTATGTATGTATGTATGTATGTATATTTATATTTACATTTATATTTAAATTTGTATTTATATTTATACATTTATATTTATATATTTATATTTAATCAGTCATCTATGTAATATAATCATATTATTATGAACAGACCTTCTTTTCAACGATTAGAAGACCAGCGAACCCAACATGGGGCCAGAGACCACAAACCATGTCAGGGGGCCTTCATCCAACAAAAAACTGATGCTACACACCACTTTTTTAAGGGGAGGGGCCTAGACCACAAACTGACCAAGGGGCCTTACTAGGTAAGCACCACAAACTCAGCCAGGCGCCATGGACCAACGAACTCCCATCTATTTGGATCATACCAGCTCCCCCCCGGTCCTGCATTGATTGGATTCACGTTGGAAAGCTCTCATCGGACACACGCTGACGTTCACGACGACTTTCTCTTCGCTTGTGTTTTCTCCATGCCTAAGTTGAAGTTTCATGTTTGCCCGCTTTAAACTTTAAATTTGATTGCGAACCGCTGGCACTGTTCGAATCAAAAAAACTGTCCCAAACATATGTGACTGAGTGGATGGCATTGCGGCTGCAGAATCGCTTCGGATCTTGCGCCACAGCTGCTGAGCCTTCGCCGACTTCTTCATTGGCATCACTCGCACCAACAGCATCAGGAAGAGGACAGGGGGAGTAACAACATTTTTTCTTTTCAACGGAGGTTCCAACCTTCACGCTTGCCGCATTGTGTTCGTTCAAGTTGTTTTCGATGTTTTCGATGTTTTTGCTTACTTCCGTAGATTTAGCTGAGGTTCCAACCTTCAAGCTTGCTGCGTTGTGTTCGTTCAATTTCAGAGCCTGTGGCGCTGTCTCTTTGTGATTGTCCTCCTTGCTGTCCGCCCTGGTTTGTTTTTTGAACGGGCTTGGAACTGTAGCAAATTCCAGTCCGTCTCGCACTGCAGTCTCGTCGCAGTGATAATAGTGCTGCCTGAAAACTTTCAAACCAGATCGCTGCTGAATTTCCATTATCACACTTTCTGATGGTGGTTGCACATCTGAACCTCTACGAAATAGCAATAACGCCGCTGAAGTATGGCGTGTTGCGCCATGGACTGTCGCTCTGTTACCAAGGCATTTTTCCGAGGGACTCCATCTCCTGTTTCTGGTAAAAGCATACATGATTTCTCGGATTTTGTCTAGGGCTGCGTTGATAGATTGTCTCGCCATATTTGGTCTGCATCCTTTCTTCTTACTCTGGCACGGAAACATGTAAGTGTCATCTTCTTTGATGAAAAAATTTTGTTTTGAAGCGGTTTTTGTTGAAAGACTTCTGGATGGCAGGTTTGATACGGCTCCAGAACGGGTAGCATTTGTCGATCTAAACCACGTTCCCGCATTTGCTTCAAAGTTGCCACCGCATCACTGGGAATTCTTGCAACCACCGTTTCGCCGCCAAGTTTCCCATTGCCTTGTTTGTCTGCATCTTCTTCTCGTTGAATGTAGATAATATGCGGCCCATCATGGTCTGGCCCACCTTCCAGCATGATATCACATCCTCGTAAGAGCAGCGTTTCAGAGATACGTCTAGAGGTGACTAGACAAATCCACAGGGCTCCGCAATAAGCAGGACTTGCAAACCACAGCGCCACACTGAAATACAAGGCCAATTGTTCTCTGGGAATAAAGACATGTTGTTTGTGTGTCTTTGATACTTTGCGTCCCTTATTCCAGGGATTTTTGGATGTTTCCTTTTGTCGGCTGGTTTTGGATCGATTTTTTTTTTGGCACCCAGCCGCCATCAGATACAAAAACCTGTCAAGGTATCCAGAAAAACCTGAGGTTCCAACCTGTCAAGGTATCGGTCGAGGTAATAAGCAGATCTAGCTAATTCGAGCGGAAAAACTGCAGAAAAATGCCGTTTTACACCCCAGAGTTTCCAACTTACCGATGAGCTGGTTCCAACTTACCGAAGGGCGGGTCGGTAAGTTGGAACCCTTTGGAGCCACAAAACTGGTGCTTGGGAGCCCTTTTGGGAGCTTTGGGAGCTACAAAACTGATACAAAAATGGTGAGAAACAGAAATTTTCTGGTGGAAAATTAGACAAAACAGTGGAAAACTGGTGCTAACCAGAGGTTTCTTGGTGGAAAAAAATGTGAAAATCATGAAAGGGAATGTTTTTTTTCAGTACAAAACTGGTGCAATCGAGAAAACCAGCAAACGATAACCACATATTGAAAAATGTGCAAAATACAGTGTAAAACGATAGCAAACTGTTACATATTGATTTCCTCCCTTTGAGTCGCTGCGTTCCCAAACGTTGCAGCTGGCACACATTTTATCAGCAGGATTTTGAAAACCAGTGCTGGTAGTCAACACATCTGTCTACCCTTCAGGAGTGATCATCCTGAATAACATTCATCACCATTCCAAGGCTGACCAAGACCACAAAAAATAAAATTTCAATGTGTTTTTGTGCCACCCTGTCCTCCTTGGGCTTCCATTTAGTTGGATCGGTCGTCTTCTTCACCCTTCGCGGCATAGAGTTGCAGCGCAGATGCTTCCAAATAGACTCCTGTGCAGGGTCACCGGGGGGGAGATGTTAACAGGATTCAGCCTTCAGAAACATTAGTGTTTTTTGAACACTGCAACATAAAACAGACAACAAACTTAATAACTATTATCACCATATCACGACCAGAGTAAGAATTATATTATTGCAACATATCTAGTATGGCTTTGGATGCTATATGATGGTGTCATGTTGTATGGTATATAGCTTGTGGCATGGTGTATAGCATGTGGTATGGGAACT